TGTTCCAGCCTGTTAGTAGTGTTATTTGTTCTGTAGTAACAGGTGCCAGAATGTGTCCCTTATGCAATATGAGTAAGAAAAATCCTTTAAATTTACACAGAAGTTAGATTTAACAAGACAAAAGTTTTACTATATTGTATTAATTTACCTCTTACATTTAATTTACTCATTACATTTTCTTAAATAAAAACTGACATTGGTACATAATTTTTGTCACTTTCATTAATATCCTGCAATACATATCAGCCAGATTGTTATTTTTACATATAGAGTAACCTTCCAACTCAGAAAAAACCCCTTCTCTTTTAAAGGCCTGATGCTCAGCCATATCAGTCTTTGCTGCTATTAAATAAGGAAAATGAGAAAACTACTTACTTCCTTCCCCAAATATTTTTTCTGCACTGATGTATTTGTAAATTCCTTTATAATCCCCCATTTCCTTTGTTAGCCTGAAGCAATTAAACTAATCCATCCTCTGTGAACCTCAGTTGACTCACAGCGTCCTTGGGTGTCTTCAAATTTTTTTTTTTGACACTTTTTCTTAAATTCAGGTCTTCAAATCTACATGTGGAGCTTACTGTTTTCCACAGCAGTTGTCAGTCATCCTTCAGCTGTAGTCTTTCTGCAGCCACCTCATACACCAACGAAATCTTGGTTCCTATGAGATCAGAATTCTTGTCCTTCTCCCTATAAATCCATTCTCTACAGTGATTAATTTAGGTAGCATTTGTGCACAAGTTCCAGTTTCTCCCTCAGTAAGAAATATTAATCAGAGCAGGGGTTTTCTCTATGGAACAACAAGAACGGTCATGGTTTATTAGAGCACTCTGGGTATTGCCTTGCTGCCTCTATGGAAGACAAGAGGAAAGGTAAACTCCTTGCATCTTTCCTGAACAAGGCATAAATCTGCTCTGCACTTTTGTCTTTTTATGTCAGAAAAACCTGCCTAGCAGGCATCTTCTGCTGTTGTGTTGTGACACTGAGCCGCACATTCAATATCCGCTATTTTGTCTACAAAGGTGTTGGATGAATGGTTGCATTTTGAGAGTGTGTGTTAACTTGGAGTGCTCCCACAAATATGCTATAAAGTATTCCACATCGTAGCTCCACTCTCCCAAGTCCTATTTGGGCAAAACAGAATCCTAAGAACCCCAAGCCCCTCAAATATTTTTATACTCCAAAAATATAATGACCCTATGTTCTGGTGTTTGCTTCTGGGATTGTCTGTATGTTTATCCAGCTTCTGCCTTATCAAAAATACAAATATAGCCATAGAATCATAGAAACATTTAAGTTGGAAAAGACCTTTAAGATCATTGAGTCCAACCACTAATAAGCAGTTATACTTATTACCAGTCACACGAAGATGACCCTCAAAGTAAACAGGGTGTGCTTCCAGAGAGCTCTGTGCGTGCAGGAGGGACAGCAAGTCCCAACACTGCTGCAGGCAGCAACTTTGAGAGCCACCAGGTTGCTGAGGAAAGTAGGGGAATGCCAGAAGCATGAAGACAATTTCAATGATATATAATGATACAACAATCAACTATACATACATAAACCAAACACTGAAACATCTGTGTTGGTATTGCTTTACTGGTATTTGTAAATACTTCATCTGGTGCCATTTCATTAACCAGCAGTTAAAGTTCAGTCAGCATTAACCAAAATATTAAATTTCAGCACATGTTGATGCCCAGTAATTCCTTCAAAAGTGTTTCACAGCTCAGGAATTGCCACTTTTCTTAAAACTGTCATCTTCTTGGCCAAATCCGATACTTATTCACAGACCTGCTAGCACATGAATTACGTTCACTACCCTTACTTTCATCTGTGTAAGTCAAAGTGTATGGTTTTGGTCCAATACCTCGCAAAGTTCCTGATTTGACAGTATTTACTGTGATAATTTACAATTCTGTCAATTTCTGCACTTTGCAATTTAGCTACTGCCCATCTATTCTGGTAGCGGTTTGAAGTGTTTCTCCTCTCCGATGAAAAATTGTAGTATAGACCTTGGCTACTGCTAGCAGCTGCACAGAGACAGCTGAATATTTTATCAGCCAGACATCTACTTGCAATAACTGCACTCTTATTCACATTTTAGGTTACTTGCGTACTGTTTGTATGCAATAAAAAAGTCAACGAACTTTAAAAACATTTAGGAAAAAGACATAGATATTATACAAGCAGTAGAGCGAAGTCTAGGCTTATTTCCATTTTCCATAATTGTTCCAAAAATAGAACAAAAATTTGAAGAACTGAGAATTTTACACTACCAATTAAGATGATCGTGCCATTTCAAAATCCACGTCAAATACTTCCTCTAGGCTGTATGCATACTTATACATGCACAAAACAGAAAGCTGCCACCACACCTAGCAAATAGAAAAATGCATTTTAAACCAAAACCAAAATAAAATCTCTACTTGCAGTCATCTCCTTTTCAAAAGCTTTGCGTATGACTCTCACAGCTGCAGAAATCAACTATTATTTCTGATCAACAAGTCTGCCATAGTGGTCAATCTAAATGGGAAAAGAACAGTTCTGCTGCTAGGAATAAGTGGAGTAAGATACCCAGTCTTCCTTTTGCAATGTGGGAGAAAAGAGAGACCTTATTTGTAAGGTGTTTTGACATCTACTCACATCTAGGTATTGTCATAGTTACAGATCACTTTCAACACTGTATAAACTAATCAAAATTAACATTTTCTAACACTTTATTTGCAATTATAAGACAGGACATCCATTCATCTGTTAATATTTACAGCCTTCAAAAGGAGAAACAAAAGACAACTATATTGTACTGAATTTTAGGGAAAAGGCACATATTGTTAACCAGCTGTGAGCACATCTATTACCAGTGACTTTTATCTCAAGGAGTAGACAAATGGGTTGAAATTATTAAAAAACAAAATTAAAAGGACTGACAGAACAATAAAACACGTGTGAGGGTGATGAGGCACTGGAACAGGTTGCCCACAGAAGCTGTGGATGTCCCATCCCTGGAAGTGTTCAAGGCCAGGCTGGATGAAGATCTGAGCAACCTGGTCTAGTGGAAGGTTCACTGCCCATGGCAGGGGGTTGGAACGAGATGATCTTTAAGGTCCCTTCCAACCCAAACCATTCTATGATTTTGTGAAAAGCATACCAGTGCATTCTGGTAAAGAAAACCAAAGTATTCCAGCCATACATAATGCTACAGGAATACATCACTGGTCAGTCTGTCACAGCCAGCAAGGCTTCATGAGGGGGAAGTCCTGCTTGTAGAACCTGATTTACTTCTACAGCAGGATAACCCACCTAATTGATCTAGGAAAGCCAGTAGATGTAATCCTTTTAGATTTCAGCAAAGGTTTTGATACTGTTTCTCACAGGATCCTTCTGGACAAAATGTCCAGCATATAGCTGAATAACCATGCTATGTGATGAGTGAGCAAATGGCTCATGGGTTGAGCACAAAGAGTTACAGTGAATGGGGTGACATCAGGATGGTGCAAGGTCACTAGTAGGGTTTGACAGGGCTCCATCCTCAGCCCAGTTCTCTTCAACATCTCCATTAATGACATGGACCCAGGAGTCAAAGGAATACTAAGTTTGCCAACAACACTAAGTAGGGAGGAGCTGTTGAATCCCTCGAAGGCAGAGAGGCCCTGCAGAGAGACCTTCATAAATTAGAGGGCTGGGCAATCACCAACCACATGAAGTTTAACAAGGGTAAGTTCTGGCTTCTAGACCTGGGATAGGGCAATGCTGGTTGTGTGTATAGACCAAGGAATGAGAGCCTGGAGAGCAGCACTGTGAAAAGGGACCTGGGGGTCCTGGTCAATGGCAAGTTGAATATGAGTCAGCAGTGCCTTGGTAGCCAGGAGGGCCAACCGTGTCCTGGGGGGCATCAGGCAAAGGATCACCACCAGCCGGTCGAGGGAGGGGATTGTCCCGCTCTGCTCTGCACTGGTACGGCCTCACCTGGAATACTGTGTGCAGTTTTGGGCACCACAATATAAAATGACATTAAGGTATTAGAAAGCATCCAAAGGAGAGGAGTGAGGATGATGATGGGCTTTGAGGGGAAGGCTTATGAGGACCAGCTGAGGTCACTTGGTCTGTTCAGCCTAGAGAAGAGAAGACTGAGGGGAGAAGCCATTGCAGTTACAACTTCCTCATGAGGGGGAGAGGAGGGGCAGGTACCAATCTCTTGTGACTAGTGACAGGACTCGAGGAAATGGCATGAAGCTGAGGCAGGGGAGGTTTTGGTCAGATATCAGAACAGAACAGAATATGCCAAGTTGGAAGGAACCCACAACAGGCTCCCCAGGGAAGCGGTCACAGCACCAAGCCTGCCTGAGTTGAAGAAGCGTTTGGACAGTGCTCTCAGGCACACGGTGTGATTCTTGGGGGTGGTCCTGTGCAAGGGCAAGAGTTGGACTTGATGATACCGATGAGTCCCTTCCAACTCAGCATATTCTATGATTCACCATACAACACCTAGAGTAGTACTCAAGAAATTACAACATGTAATTGCAAAAGAAGTTAAGGTAGTCTTCCCTTAAAAAGACTTAATTATATCCATAAGGATATAATTTTTATGTAGCTTTTGAATTTTGCTCCGATTTATCTAGTGTATCATATATCCAGTGATAGGATATGGAATAAGATGAACTTGTATGGTATAGCAGCCTGCAGCGTAAGTTCCCACAATGGAGAACATATCGAATTGCAGTATCTGATTGCTGATTTTGGCCCTGTAGCTTTCTGGAGCGACTTTCCTGTCTTGCAACCCTTCCTATCTGTAGAGGCTGTTTGATGTATACAAACAGGTTTTTAAAACTGTTAATTGTATTATAAAGAAAATCCAGAAACACTTCATTTATAAACCCCCTCATTTGCATAGCAATACAAATTATTACTGTAAGTTACTGATGCTGTACAGCCTAAGGGAAACACTCAGGTAAAACCTGTACAATGAATCTTCTATAAAAACAAACCCAACACCATTTAAGTTATTAGAAAAAAACCAACATTTTAATCGTGAAGACTTTTCAAACATTACTGCAATATGATTGTAGGAAAATATGTTTCTTCTTACAAGGAAGTTAAGCATATCCAATGAGATTTGTATCTTCTTCAAATACAAAGTTTGATTTTCCTTGTTCAATTCCTCATTGCCAACATGGCATTTATGTCCCAAATAAGATTCCGTAACTGATCCATGATCTGCTTCAGCTGCTGATTCTTCTGTTTCAGCTTCTGTGGAAAGAGTTTATTATCAGGTTTTTTTGTGATCAGTTCAATTAACACACTCAAAAATTCAACAAAAGTTACAGTGTTATGAAATGCTATATGAACCTTTTCCTCAGTTGTCTGTGAGCACTATTAGTGGGATAATACATCCCCTTAAAATCACATCCTAAAAATACAAGAAAGCCTCAAAAGTTAAGGATTATGGCTACAGGGTCAATGCTGTTCTCTTCACAGCATTCTTTTTATCAGAACACCTGACACCTTCATAAGCTGGAGGTTTGTGGAGATCATTCCCCACTTTTCAAAGTCCAAAGGAGAGCATCATAAGTAGGAAGAAACAATTCAGGGAACAGGTAAATTTATGGGAATATATGTTTTGTAACTTGGGTTTGCAGAAAAATGAGAGATTAACAGTAGAAGTTTAAACAGAGCACAAGGTATAGGTGAAGCAAATCAAGCTTTTGCAGCCCTTCTGCCTATGTAGGTCAACTGTGATGTGCTTAGAGTCCTGTCTTGAAAAAGGTTCTCCCAATCATGCTGAATTCTTTAAATTTATGTATTTGTTTTTGCAAACTGCAGAAGCACGTGAAGGAAAAAAAGAACAGCCAACTTGCTTTTATTTGGTTGCATAACCAAAACTTAGAAATTATGTCTTTACAGAAGAAAGATCTGGGCATTAAGACATCATACAATTTCCTTAACCTTTCATGTTTCACAATAATCCCCGTATTTATTGTCTCATTTATTCATTCTCCTGCTTAAATTGAAGCTGTTGAGAACTAAGTTAGGTTGCTGTTAACAATACACAGCATGTCCTTCATTTCATTCTGATTTAACAAGATGTCAGCCTTCTCACATTAGAGATCAAACTACTTATTCATTAGGGAAGTCTGGAGTTCCAAGTAAAGTGAAAGAACAGGAAAGACTTGCTACCATCAAAAGAAAACAAAATGTTTCAGGTTTGACATAACTTTGTTATTGACACTACACAAATGGCAATACATTAAAAGGGCAACTCAGATCAGTAATACAGCCAAAGCAACTGGAACAGTGCTAAAATGAAGCAACAAAAGAAGCAATGTCCTGAAAACTGTCTCCCGTATTTTGATGCAGACAATACAACAACATTTTAAGATGCCCAGATGGTCAGTTGGGAAAGAAGTCCAGAGTAAAAAAGTAAGCCCATTAATTTCAGACCTGTAAAAACAGTCTGAAGTAATATAGTAATTAGGCTTATATGCGGAACATAGTAAGGGAAATATTACTGAACACAGACTTTGGGGGACACATTTCCTGGAAGAAGAGTCAACATGCAGTTCCAGACTCCTGAGCAGGATGTGAAAACAGAGGTAGGACAATTCATGTGCAATAAGCATGAACATAATCAAGCATTTGACAGACTAAAAAGTGTTTTAAAGATAACTATGGGCATTTATCTAATGCTTCTTTCATTTCCATTTGCTGATCCAAGACTTCATAATATATATCAGAGACCCAACTCCTAAAGACGAGAGAGAAAACTAAGAATCATGTAGTTACCACAGCACCCAAATGACAGAACTGCAAGTGTCTTCCTACAAAGGTCTTGATGCTTGAGAAAGCACAAGCGGGATGAGATAAACAAGCATGTTCATACCTGTGGCATTTTTAAACATGTTTCTATTTGCCATCCTCAACATTCAGTCTTAAAGAAATCAGTGAATGTTACATCAAAACTACTAGTTTAATGCAGGCTGATACTGAGAGCATGTCATTTCAAGATTTTTCAAAACCTTCATCAATAGGAATGAAGGGTGAACAGTCAGTGCTGGTTATTCAAGTCAGACAGAAATAAGAACCGTTGACCTCTGATACGCAGACCGTGTTCTCTCTTCATCCATGTCTAATTGTATTGTTAAATACTGTTACTTAGGTAAGCTCACATGAACTTTATGCAAGTTATGCCCAAAAGACTCATTCTGTAAGACTGTTTTCCTTTCCTGTGCAAGCATTATGACACTGTAAATTGCTTGATCTTTATTTGATATTAGACAAGGGAACCTTCAAACTGGATTTCATTTGTTTTCAAAGCATCTGTAAAGACAGGAAGTATAAAATTGTTTCTTTATTTATCTGAAGATAATTTTAGATCCTTGTCTTCAGTGAAGACCTATTTTTTTAGCTCTTCTACTTTTTCTAGAGACAGAAAAAAGCATCTAAGATGAAGCACTATCCCTGGATTGCTAGGCTGGTGAAAGTATAAAGAGAGGAGAAAATATCCACTTCAGAGAGCATGGTCTCCTAATTGAAATGCATAGAGTGATCTTTGTTACTGATCTTTGACAGGCAGTGGCTCACACCACAAAGTAATACATAATTAATATGTTCTACACCACTGGAAGTGCTGGCCTCTGTTTAAGACTTTGCTGAGCCAGTAAGAACACCTCAACCCAGGTCTAACCTTGGAAAGACAGGTGAAATGGCCTTCTTGGGAAATGGGCAAGTTCTGTAAGCAGCTTCTGCAGTAATGACAAATTTTTGTTTGAACAGATTGCTTGCAAGTTGTCTCCCACTCTTTCCTCCTTCTATTGAAATGACTTAGTTGAACTCTGGACTGCTTCTCAGGATTAGCAGTTGTATGAAACAAGAAAAAGTACTTCATCCCACATATATGCTACAGCTTCTGACTTTATCTGTTTTAAGATAGCACAGGGAAACTATCTTATATGAGGCAGTTTATAATGATCTAAGAGACCTAAGTTCAAGTTACATCTGACAGGCAGGTTTTTGTTAGTCCCTTTCTGTCAGAAAAGGGATCTGACTGGAAGTTTATAATGAGTTTAAGAGACCTAAATTCAAGTTACATTTGACAGGTAGATTTCTGTTAGTCCCTTTCTGTCAGGAAAGGGATGTGACTGTAAACCAATCCTAAGAGGTCTTCTTTGGTGATACTAATATTCGATGTGTTTAACTACCCATTTTGATTGACCCTGCAAGCACTATGGCCAGCAGGATGGAGTTGTCAAGGACTGCACCTTCCAGTAACCAACAATACCTCAGTAGGCATAGGTCAGGTAAGTCAGTCACGAAAACAGGTACTGAAGCACAAAACCCACATAAATGAAATTATGTGGGAGAACCGTAACATACATGTAGAAAATAGCTGTCTTTCAAGGAAAAGAAAATCTGCCATAAAGAACTTGCCACGTTTCATACAGATTTGGGTTCAGTAGGACACAGTAATTTCAACTTCAACTGAAACGAAATTTCTACTAAAACTAATTTTTGGTTCACTTTCATTTCATTTGAAATCAGTGCTGTCTAGACCAATTCACAACTTACTACCAGAGATACATCAGAACTTTCCTTCAACACTGTTCCCATCTCTCTCCTCATTTTAAGCTCATCTATCCTTCAAATTTTAAAACCAAAACATGAGTCATATGCTGCACTCAAGCTATTTGTTAGAAGTCCCTTCTTCAGGCAAAGAAAATAGTGTAAACACTGTGGACGAGTAAGATCATATTCCAACTGGTGCCTGTAGAAACATCAACAGTACTTGCCTATATTGTACAGGCTCTCCTTCTGCTTAAGAAAAAAATAAACAAAGAGGGCTTTCCACCTTGAAAATCTTATATAAAAGACCATACCTCTGAATGCTGTGACAGCTATAGTTTACACCTGCTCTGTTGAAGATCTACAACTGTACAGGCCAGAAGGACATCTCAGTGTAATAAAACACTAAATATTAGTAACAGTAGTACCTTTATTTGCATAAATCTTGGCAGAATTAAAAAATTATACTTACTTTGTTGATTATGACTCTACTACAGAGAACAGGCATCATGTTCTTTTCCATTAGCATAGAATCATGGAACAGTTTGGGTTAGAAGTGATGTTTAATGGTCATCTAGTCCAACCCCCCAGTGAGCATCTTCAACTAGACCAGGTTACTCAGAGACCAATCCAGCCTGACTGTGAATGTTTTCAGGGATGGGGCATCTACCTCCTCTCTGGACAAGCGTTTCATCACCCTCAGCATAAAAAATTTCTTCCTTATATCTAATCTAAGTTGACTTTCTGTTAGTCTAAAGCCATTACCCTTGTCCTATTGCAACAGGCCCTGCTAAAAAGTGTTCCCACCTTTCTTGGGAAGCCTTTCAGGCCCCTTTAGGTACTGAAAGGCTGCTACAATATCTCTGTGGAGTCTTCTCCAGACTGAACAGCCCCAGCTCTCTCTGCCTTTCCTCATGGGTGAGGTGCTCCATCCTTCTGATGATTTTTGTGGCTCTCCTCTGGACCTGCTCCAACAGGTCCATATCCTTCCTGTGCTGCAGATCCCAGAGCTGGACATAGAACTCATGTTACTCCTTCTGACCATTAAACTGCTGTAGGAAGTGATTGCTGAAAGCCTTATGAAGGTGACAGTGGCCTCCACATTTCCATGTAAGTCAAAGCCAAGAAATTTCTACAGAAACACAATGTTTGTGATAGGAAAGTGAAATTTATACTGTCTCTTTTTAAAATGAGTCCTTTATATTGAAATCTCTGAAGTAAGGTCGAAAAACCTTCTCCTTTCTTTTTTCTTTTGGTTTTATAGTCAAAAGAATGACAGTATTATATGCATATAGCTGGAAAAAAATATGATACAAAAAATGTCCTCAACACTTTGGTCAAACACTCTTAAAGCTGCCAGATGATATTCTAACTTATGTCTGCTCAACTGATACCAAGGCCTACTTTTCATCATAATATCAATCTATGTATAATTTTTTTCCAAAGGGATAAAAATATTAATCACTAATATAGTAACTGCTGTGCAATAAACATTAACACAGCTTTTCCTGATGTCACGCACAGACATAACTGTTCTACCCCTACCAGAAATAAGACTGGGTTTTCTGCCTTGCTCCTCACCTGATAGCTGAAGGGAAAACTGCTCCTTCTGCATGTGTAACTGTGTGTTCCTAAAACATGCAAAGGCACCACTGACAGCCTGTGCTCCACTGCATGCTCAGTACTTTTCA